TCACCTCCACAGGCAGTTAACTTCATTTTTCTCTGCTTAGTTAAATATGCTTATCCTTTTTTTCATCTTCCAAAATTTTTTGTTTATCCTCTTCTTTCCCATTCTTTTCATCTTTTATGGTAATTTTAGGGGAGTTTGGGGAGGTAGCAGGTATAAACATGTGTATTCAATTCACTAAGTTTAGAAGGTGGTCAATAAATTTGTTTTTAATCTATCAGAAGCCCTGCCTCTGGTTATATTTCAAAATTAATAATGTTGATAAGAAAGAAAAGTGCTGAAATAAAAGTCTTTGCAAGTATTTAAATTTAGCTATAACTTAGGCCCAAAGCCCATAAGTTGTAATGGTTTTATTCTAGTTTCAGTGTGTATACTGGTAATGTTTATATTATAGCACGTATCAGTAAATTTAAAACAATTTTTTGAAAAGTGACTAACATATCAGGCTTTTTTTATTTTTGAAATTATGTTTTCCAACTAGAGTCACAGTTTGAAAGTAATTTTGTCACCAGTTATGCTTCTCAAGTTGAATACTCTTAGCTAATAACTACCAGGTTATAGATGTAGCAGCTTTTAAAGACAAATACAATCGCCAGCATTCAACAATGAATTTCAAATCTGTGTATGCAGCATTGTCATAATGAAGAAAGTCTCTCTTGCTAAGTGATGTCTCAATTAAATATGGTAAAAATTCCATGAAATTTATTGGTTGATCTAACAGAATTACTTTAAAATGCTTATGTTACTAATTTCCAGGAGTAAGAATATTTCTTTCTGGAATGTGAAACCACAGATAGAATTGTGTCTCTCCAGGGAAATGGACTCAGTGGTTATGCAGTAAGCTGTTCCCATCTGTAATATGATAACCGACTTTATCACTGCACTACTGTGGTAGAAAATTATCTCCTACAGTATATTTTTTAATACACCTGAGTGGGCAAAATGAGTTATTAGACCTAATGCCATTTTTTTCCATTTAACTTTTCCCATTATTCTAAAAGTATCCAGATTTTAGAAGCACTTTTACTCTTCAGCTCTTGAATAAGATTCTAGAAACAAACCAAATTCTAGGAAATACTATTTTTAAATTATACATGTATTGGGTATCACATGTCAAATTGTTCATTTTTAGCATAAAGTGCATTATATTCAATAAGCATTTTTGAAGCTTCATTTATGTACATGACATAGTGCTGTTAATTGACAAGAATATATAAGAAGCACAGTTTTATAGGGAGGCAATATAGCATGGAGACTATGAGTCATAGTGTCTGAATTTGATTCTCAGTTTTGCCATTGCCTAGCAGCATATCCTTGGGCAAGTCATTGAACTTCCCTACGCCTCATTTTCAAAATGTGGTAAAAAAACATCTCCCCTTCAGGGTTGTTGTGAGAACAAATTGAAGTGACATAGGCTAGGCATTTAGTGTGTTGTCTTTGTATTGTAAATGCTCAGTAAACATGAATCCAAAGAGAGAGAGACACACACACAGGGAGTGTTTTGCACTCTCTAGGAGCTTACCATCTATTGAGGGATATGAGAAACATACACATTGGTAAAACTGTAAGTCATTATATAATAAATTTCCAAAGCGAGAGAGTGATACCAACAATAACATTAGCAGTGGTTTGAAGAAGGGAGATAGTGAGAAATGTCAGACAAGAGGGACAGGAAAAAGTACGCTGGAATGGAACGAATGGAGGCATGTTTGGTGCTCATGAGGAGAAGTACGTGTTTCCTTATTGAATGAATAAATCAAAGAATGGCCTGGCTGGGGTGTGGAGTGGTGATTAGGTAAATTTGCAGGAGAGAATGAAGTTATGGAAGTCCCTGAATGCCACCTTGGTAAACCACAAGAAGTGGGAATTTTTGACCTGGGAGGCGAGGGGGGGTGGGGAAGATGTACGACACAGTGAAAATAGTGGTGTAGGAAAAGGTATGTAAGAAAAATGGTGTGGAGAGTAGCTAAATCTAAGAGATCAGTTAGAGTACCTTTCTATGTACATAGTTTGGGCTCATAATTCCAAAAAAAACCTGCAAAAAAATTTAGAAGGATCAAGACTAAATGAATAAATGATAAAAGAGAGAAAAATAAAGAGTTAACAGTGATTCTAAAGTGTGGGAGAGACAAGAAATGATGGGAACAGCCATGTTGAAGGGGATGCTGATTATGGAATGAGAAGTTTCAAGTTAAAAAGAAAGCAACAATTTTTTTGTTGTTGCTTTTATAAAAGATACACATGCTTCTAGTAAAAAAAAAAATCAGGAAACAATGGAAATATATAAAATAGGAAAATGAAAGTCTTCTTCTTTACCCCTAAATCCATGTTTCTCTTGGGGTAACCACTGAGAACGTTTGTTTATATAGCTTTCCAGGCTGGTTTCTGTGTATGTATCGACTTAAAAGAAAAGGAAATGGAACACCAGTATACATAGTTCTCTTCGACTTGTTTTTCTTTCCATATTGGTTCATATGGAGCTATCTTTTCAATGTAAGGAAATATAATTGTATTTACCTACTCCTGTATTAGCGAACACTTAGTATTCCAATTTCTGCTATTACAAACAATACTTAATGAGCAGTCCTGTATATCTCTTTGAATGTTGTCACAGTATTTTTGTAGGACAAGTATCTACGTGTGAAATTGCTGAGTCAAAGTGTATGTACAATTAAATTTTTCCTTGCTTCTGGCAAATTGTCTCCCAAAGAGATATGCTCACTTACACTGCCACCATCAGTGTATGAGAGAGTATATGTTGCCCATATCCTGGCTAAACCTGAATATTATCAATCTTATTAATTGGGCAACCTATTATGCAAAACATATCTTGTTTTAATGTGTCTTTCTGTGATTATCAGTATGGATGGACATATTTTTATAGGTTTTATTAGATATTTTAATTTTTTCTTCTGTGGTTATTTCAGTTTTGAACTTGGAGAGGTTGAACTGATGATGGAATGTCCTCATATAAGTGTCATGGAGGCAATTGGACTTGTGGTACAGAAATCTGAGTGAGAATTACTGGTGGAGCAGTGACAGTTCAAACAGTAAGGCCACATAAGTTCCCCATATAATCATCAAAAGAAGAGAATACAAGGCCCTTAGGAAACTCCGAGTTAGGAAAGAGAAAAAGGCAAAGTGATAGAAACCGAGTAGTAGCAGGTTAGCAGTTGTAGAGATAAAAGTAGAATCAAGATGGTGGCCTGTCATGCTAACTGGTTAAGGGGTTTTGGGTAAATTTTGAATCTCTTGAGCCTCAGTTTCCTCATTTATAAAATGAAAAGTTGGAAAAGATGACCTTCAATTATCAAATTCACTGTTTATAATTTTAAACCAAGAGATGAGACAATTTCATGGGAGTAGTCAACAATTTTAGAAAGCATGTGGGATTTGGCAGTAAAGTGGTCATTTAAAATAATTATGATGTTATAGTCTATGGATTGCTTACTTCTGCTGCTCTGCTTTTTTGAAATTCTAACATTTAAAAAAAGCTTTTTATTTGGAAATAATTTCAAATTTATAGAAGAGTTGCAAGGAACACCCAAATACCCTTTACCCAGAGTCACTTATTGCTAACATTTTACCTATTTGTTTTATTACCTTTATTTTCTCTTCTCTCTTTTTTTTTTCTCAACCATACACATTCTAGTCTTTTACTGCTAAACACTGCAGTATTTAGGGATGTAACAAGAGTTACCAATTTCAGTGATTTTAACAGTGACACTTTTATCTAATCAGTCTACCATCTGTTTACCAATTAACCCAATAATGTACTTTATAGAATTTTTTTTCCCTTCCAGTAAAGAATCCAGTCTAGTATCTCACATTGCATTTTGTTGTGATGGCTCTTTAGCTGGAATATTTTCACAGCCTTTGTCTTTAATGACATTGGCATCTTTGAAGAATACAGTTCCTTCCTTGTAATAGGAATTAGTTCCTTCCTTGCAACTAATAGGAAGTCTATGGGAAGAATTCTAATGATGCAAATATCCTGTTCCTTATCAAAATTTCTCTCTAAATTTAGCATCCATTGATGGTTCTTGTCTTAGTTGCAAAATAATGATTGCCCAACTCCGTCGCTCCCTCCACATTTACCTGTTGGCATTCAACATTCTACCATAAGCAACAGTACTCCTTTCTTCATTTATTTTATCTATTTATTACTGGCAAGGATTTACGAATTCTTGGTGTTTTTTTTTTTAAAGTCTAACCTTATTTTGAATGCAGGCCATATAAGGAAACTACTGTGATGAATGTTATTGGCATAGATCCTTACCCTCCACTAAGTATGAAGAGCAATGCCTAAACTTTTTAGGAAACAAGCAGCATGCAACAATAATTCACTTATCTGGTAAACTCGGTTATCCAAAATATAAAGGAAAATATGAAAGTAGGCAAATGGTCTTTATACTAAGTAAATGTCCCAAAATATCAGAGTTGTTTTAGCATTTTCTTTTGAGGTTCTTTACTTTTATTTTATATACACATTTTAAAATATTGGTTACTTGGTTTCCCAGGCTAACAGGATAAGACAGAGGCGTGAGTGTGAATATGCATGCAGGCAGTGCTGTGGCAGAGGTGCAGCCACGAGCAGGGACAGCAGGAGGGTCAATAATGAGTTCTTTCCAGACCAGTTAGACCCAAAGGAATGCAGGAACACAGGAGGACACAATTATTTCCGTAGGGTGAAGGGTACCAACTATTTCTAAGTTCCTGAGGACATCTTGCTATTACAGCTTTTGTTTTGAAGATACCTCAGGGTCATTAGGAATAGGTTAAGCTATACTGTATTTTTATAATCAAGGCAGAGAAACTGGTGATATTTTTTTGGGGAAAAAATCAGTACAAGTGGTTTAAATTAAACTGTTTCTAGTGCTTTAGGGTGAAAACCTCAGTTATCCAGAATATCTAATTCTGTTCATTCGCTCACTGCCCCCTTTCCTTATCCTGTCAGATAAATGAGGCATTACTGAAATTGTCTTTAAAGTTAATATGGAAAATTATGAGTTCATGCAAACGTTTATTTATGCACTAGCTGGTCTCCCCCATAGTCATTCCAGGGAAACATTAATTATTAAGTAAATACATTGCCGCTGATCCATATCCTGCATAGTCACCCTTGTGAGAAACAGCTTGATCGTAAATTAAGGCCTTTTGAAAGTTGGTGCTCATATTTGAATGGACAGGTGATTGTCTTTGTTCTTGGTATCAATATCCGTGGCATGTCTCTCTTGATTGAGAAGCGTGGCGGGCTCTCCATGTACCTTGGTGCCAGTTTTCTGGAGAACGTCTGTATCTTCAAGGTCCCCCAATGCATCCTTCCCCTCAAAGTGAGTTTTGGGTATGCTATTTTCCCTATATTTTAAATCAGAACATTGCAAACATAAACAAATTTTTGAAAAACATCCAGCCAATATACATATATTTGAAAAAAGAGATGAAAGGTTAGAGAAATAATAGAGGTACATGTTATTACTGAAATTCTGTTGGTTGTAATAGAATTAGGTGTTATTGAAATAATCAGCTTTCTTACCAGGCCAGTCTAATTTTGTTCTGACAGCTATAACGAGATGAGCTGTTTGTTGATTTGTTTTTTGCCATGGTGGTCTCCTGTCTTTGAAACTGCTAGTTATATATCTAAATTAGTTCCTTGGCGTACCCCTTGAAAATAATTTTGATGGATAGTAATAAAACTGTTACATAATGGTGATTCCTCTGAAACGAGTTCTAAGCATATTGAATTCTTATTGATTTCTATTTTATATAATGGCATTTCTATTTTATACATTAGTACTTTTTGTTATACTAAGATTGCATATTTCCTGTCTTTTGGCAAAAGCAAATGGAATATATAAAGCAACTTACAGAATTTAACTGCGATAAAGGATGCTCTGGAAAAGAAAATTTGCTGCTGGTCTTTAAGTGTAAAAAGGCACTGTTTTCATTTGCATATCAATGAATGAGAAGGGTCATTGTCTTTCTAAAGTAATTCCCAAGCTATGACAAAAAAAGACATTGAGAATGAACTTTTTTCTGTATTTTTATACACTAATTCTTAATCTTACCAAGTTCAGAAGTTTGAACTTAACACAACTCTAAAGGTTAATAAAACCATTATTTTACAGGTTATCAACATGAGAAACAGATTTTAATTTTTACGAACTCAAAAATTCAGTATGTATAAGAATTTAGTACATCCATGGCCAAGCTTCATGAGTCACATGGCTTTTTCTCTTCAAAGTCCAAATGAAAACTTCACTGCTCTTACAGTAAACTGTGAAAATTATTGGCAGATGTAGGAACACAGGCTCATTTGTTTTTATGAAACCCTAATTCAAGTTGAAAGTAATTGCAAGACATTTATACAAAATAGAATTCCCTGTTGTTTCTCAGTTTTCCTATTTAAGAGCAGTGGTAATGGGATATGTATATCCCATTATAATATATAAATATATATATCATTGTTGCAGGTATTATTGTTGGCACACAGCCAACCACGATCTTTTCCTAATCTCTTACTAACACTTAAAAAAGACTAAAAACATTTACCCAACTTGATAACCAGAAAGATTTGTCCTCCGAGTGCTAATTCTATTTGCTCGTTGTTTCTTTGGGACTGGAAGCAATTAACATCTATGGGAAAACTTACTGTATACATAATACATTTCCCCTCTTTTTATCGATAGTCTGTTTTCCTGGGTTTTTTTTAGTCTATTCTTATTTTAAAGGTTTTTTTTTTCTTCTTTTCGTTTCTCTACGTCTCCCAGTAATTTCATCATGATTCTTCTCAAGGCTTTCTTTGAAAGTAACATGGAATAAAAATTAAAAACCATGAACTTTGCCTATTCTTGCTTTTTTTTTTTTTTTTTTTTGAACTTACCTATGGGGCGGGGAGCAGGGGAGGACTTTAAAGAAGTAACCCTATTTGAGAGAAGAGGGTTGAAGAGCATTCTGGCTTCCCTAACAGAGTAGAGAGCTAGGACACAAGGTGGTCAAAGGAGGAAAGAATTAGCATTCTTCAATATACAAGATTAATCAGTTCTGTTTAGTGGTTATTAAAGGGAGGAAAAAAACTAAATGGGAACAATTCTGGTCCTTTCGTGTTTTGTACCCAATGCTAGTACACAGTATTCCTTCCACATTTACTGCACGTTGCCTAGAGAAAGAGCTGCAGCTCATCAAATAATCATCCATTTCCAAATGGTCTAACGACAGCATACACAAAGGCGGTTCACTTAAAACCTTCCATTTCTTGTCACACTGCATCAAATGGTGTTAATTTTAAGTAGGCCACCCCATACAGAGCACCCTCCGAAACAACACCTTTCTATCCTTTCACCGTTTATACCAAATCCAGTCCTTTTTCATTCACAAAAAAATATTTACTATTTCAGAATCTTGTTCGTGCATTGACGTGCAAACACTGTTCACCTGAACTCATCAATCTGTGATCCAGGGGATGCCAAATTTCTGTCATTTGCTCATTAAGCCAAGGGCGGTACCCTGCATAACACTTACAAAGGCCTACTTCCAACACTCGCCGAATCTCAATGTGTGAGACGACCGATCACCATAATTTATGACCCTACGGCAGTGGCGTGGCTCTTCGCATTTGGAGCCCCCTCACTCGTCCGCAGCGACTTCTAAAAACACCGCGGACGCGGGCAGGATATTTGATCTGGGGGCCAAGTGTTTCCAGACTTTGTTCTCTGGCCTTAAAGATGAGATGCCCGCGCAGCAGGCGACCGATACCACCGTGGATTTCCCCGAGCGGGGAGAGGGTGGCCGGGCGGTGGCGGGCACCCCACCTGTCAGCCCTCCCGCCCCTCCCCGCCCCCTCGTTTGGCCCGTAGCGGCCCCTCCCTCCGGCGGGCGCGGGCAGGGGAACGGCGGAGGGCTGCGCGCGCCCCGCACCCCGGCCCCCGGCGGCGGTTGGGCTCAGCCGGGCAGCAGGGCCGCGGGCGGGGAGCGCGCGGGGAAGACCCGCCGGCCGGGGCGCTCGGGGCCCGCGCGAGCGCGCTCGGTTGGTGCGCGAGGGCGGCTCCGCCCCGCCCGCCGGGCGCGCGCCTCCGCCAACCCCGCTCTCCTCCCCCACGGCCGGCGCGGACGGGGTGGATCCGGCTCACTCCCCTCCCCCGAGCGGCGGCGGCGGCGGGCGCTGAATGAGAGACGCCGACTGCTCGGGTCGCCGAGCGCTAGCCTAGGCGGCGGCGGCGAAGCGGGAGGCCGACGTCGCCCCTCCATCCTCTGAGGCCACTGCCGCGGCGGCACAGGTCGGTCCTCTGGCCGCGGGCCTGGCGCGGAGCCTCGGCGGGCGGTGCGGGGGAGGGAAGGTGGGTGCGCTGCGCCCCCCGGGCGGCGCGGAGCCGCTGCGGCGGCGGCGGCGCGGGGAATGGCGGCGGCGCGGGCGCTGCGCAGGGGAGCTCTCCCGGCCGGGCCCTGGGGCTGCTCGCCCTCGGCGCGGGGACGAGCCCGAGGGGCTCGGGCTGACGGAGAGCGCCGGCGGCTCGCTCTCGGAGTCGGGATGCGGCCGTGGGGTCCCCGCTCCGGGTGTCTGTCCCGAGGCCGAGGGGCGCGGGGTCCCCCGAGCCCGCCTCGCCCTCCCTGCTGCTGGCGGAAGCCCCCGTTCTCCGCCCGCGCTGCCCCTTCAGGTGAGCCGGAGCCGCGGCCGCCGCGCCGGGCCACACCCCCTCCCCTGGCCCCGGCGGCTGCGCCCCGCAGCCTGGCCACCGGGCCGGCCTCGAGCCCGCGCGCTGGCGCTCAGGGTGACCTGTTGCGGAGCGGTCCGCAGCCCGAGTCGCCGCCAGCCCCGGACCCGGAGGCGCTGGTCCCGCGCTGGCCTCGGGCCGGGCGCGCGGCGGGGTGCGGAGCCCCGGGCGCTGCCCGAGGTCGCGTTGCTAAACGGCCAGGAGCGGGCGTATTGGAAAAAAGAGATTCCGGACGGATCTGATCAAACACTTGCAAAGCCGGGCTGTCTGTCTGCAGATAGCCGGAATTCCACTGCAGTATCGGATTAGGGCGGCTCGTAAACACCATGCTTTGGAGGTGATTTGGGAGAAACCCGAGCCACGAGTGAAGAGCTGATATCTGGAGAATAGCCGTAAACCTGTGCGGAGCTAAATTATCCCCCCCACCTGCCCCCCTCGAAGCTCTTTTCCTGTAGCTGTGTGTGGTGTAGACGCAGGCCAGTTTCAGTGTACGTGGGCGTGTTTGGGAAGAAGCTGCGAGCTGATAGGAGGTACCTTAGCACAAATGTTAATTTGTTTGAACTGGGAGGGGTGAGGGAGGAGGAGGAAAGGGCACTGATGTTAGCTGTGGAGGAGGGGCAGTCGAAACACTAAATTTCTGTTGAAGAAAGCGCCAAGGAGAAATATCTAATACCCAGTGTTTAAGACCGTAAAGTAAGAAATACGGGTAGTAGTTAACTGAGCTTTATCTTTTATGTGTCCTTGAATAGTTTAATTTCAACGCTGTGGTTGCGGTAGAGAGCCTTGTTTTCGTCATACTGTTTATGAGTTGATTTTGGTGTTTTTCTATACTTACCATCAGATCAACTCTTGTTCAGGTCTCTTTGAAGATGACCACTAGGATTTCGGGAAACTTTTCGATCCGTGCGTGCGTAGTATTGCAGTTAGAGATCATAGCTTGCTAGCCGTAAAGCCTGTTCCACCCAGATAATTATGCTTATACAAGTGCTGTAGAATCATAAATATATGTATTACTCTTACTGCTGAATATCTTAACTGTAGACTTTGGAATTATGAAGAAGCTTATCCAAACAGTATTATTTTTAATAAAAATAACCTCTAACTCAGGGTTTGTATGCGTAAAGTTTATCATCTAGCTTCAAAGATTAGGAAAATGACTTGTCTTATTAGCTAGATCTAAAGATCAAATGTGAGGACATTAGATGACTTTCTGAATAAATAATTTCAAAACAATTTAATTTATTTTAAACAATTCACTTTCTCATTTTAAAATTCAGTATAATAATTTTGAAATAGTAAGATCTAACTTTGATTTTTTTCATTATATTCCTCCTTTCATTGAATTAGGGAGTTTGACTTTTCAAAATACTCTGGGTGGGACTCTGGAAATATCTTTCACTTTGCCTAAATTATTCCAGATTGCAACACAACTTTAAAGATAGCGCTTGAATGATCAAGACTGCAACATGCTTCTCTGATATGTGTTTTTAATATCAGAAAGAACACACCAAAATTTCCTCAGAGAAAATACAGCGAAAAAACTGGCTTTGTGAATCTTTGACTTTTTGTACTTTTATTACACATGTGAGTAATGTATTTGTGTGTCTTTAAAAACCTAGTAACTGTCTGTTTCAGTCATTACAGTTGAGAGTGTAGCGGTTTGTAGTGAATGATAGATATATAGGTGAAGTTGTTCTGTTGCAGCTTGGAACACTTAAGCCTTTTCTAGAGGCCTGGCTCCTTCATTTGCACATACTTATTGAGTACCTCCTTCGTGCCAGTTAATTGCCTAGATGTTGGAGATACAACAAAGAAAAAGACAGGTCTGAGCCCTGCTGGAGCTTACAGGGTAAGTAGGCAAATAGTCTGCTGCTTCATTCTCAGATAACACTTTGTTTAATGTTAGTTTAAAAGTTTAAGAAGTCAAAACTCCTCTGATGAGTTTTTTTGGTTAAGGATATTGTTTGTGTTTTTTCCTTCTAAGAATAGTGGGAATTATATTATTGAGTGAACAAAAGCATGAAGACAATTGTTTTAAAAATAGGCTAGTATTTATATACATGGGTATTCTGGTTCCTAAGTATACCAGAAATAAACATTCCACCTGAAGTCAGATGATGGAGGGTTTGCATGTGGCTAAACAGCTTTATTCTTTTGGTTTATATAGTTAAGTGTTTGCTAAAAATATTCTCTCTTGGCACTTACTCGTTTATAAGTGAGTCTAAGTTCTTTGCAGATTACAAAGCTTTTAAAAAATAGATTATTGATATTTCTCATTGACAGGACTGCCAGTAATTAACATTGGCCTTATATTGGCATTATCCTCTCCATTTTAGGTGAGGACGTGGGTTTAGAGATGGTAAGCACACTGCCAGTAAGCAAGTAGGGAACCCAGACCCAAGTCTTGGTACCTCAGGTGTACCAAGCTCAGTGGGGAGAGCATCCACATCTCGTGCTACAGTACAGCTGCTGGTGTGCTTTTCCAGAAATTTCTGAATAACTTTTAAACTTCAAACCCAACTATTAATTGAAATTTAATTAATTGAATTTTTTTTCTCTGTGAGGTAAACTTTCAAACCTATTTAAAATTTAAAAGGATTGCTTTTTTTGCTGTATAAAAAAGGCGGATAGTTTGGATTTACTTTTAATGGTACAAGTGGTTTGAGAATAAGACATAGTAAAATCAGTCTTATTTATTGAATGTGAGATTTTTATTGTGTAACAACTGTATTTGGAATAAAATTGTCCTTTCAATCTGAATGCTGCATTTTTTTAGTTATTCAATTTTCATGAAAAGATAATTCAAATAGCTTGAAATTCTGCCTCAGCCTGCGAGAGGTTCCTTGGAGAGGAAAATGACTGTATTGCAATACCCTGTAGATTGTTTCTTTAAATGTGTCTATTCCCATTGGTTTAGGGTTTCTCTTTAGGGAGTGAATGAAGATTAGGTGTGATAAATTTTGGTGACTTAGAATTAATCTGGAGTCTTTCTTGAGCTTTTGATTTGGGAAAACTACATAATAGAATAAAACACTGGAATTTGAAATGTGTGATGTCTATCTCCTCTATGGAAAGAAAAAAGTCACTTTAATAACAGTCACTTTAATAAATAATGGCTAGTTGGGGATATACAAGAGTATGAATAGCTGTGTTCATATGACTTACGTTGAAGGTGCCTGGCAATTTTTGTGTGCCGCTACAGAGAACTTTTGGTACTGGCTCTTAAACGATACATTGCTTTGGAGTATGAGAGGTTTAAAATGAAGCTCTCACCTTGAATTTAATTGATACCCTTCTTTTATTTACTTATATGACCTTTTTCTCAAGACAGATTTTCCTTTTTAGGTCGTTTTCCTTTTTGCTAATTCTTGGAAAGCCCTTTTCTGAAAACCCTACCTAAATAGCATCCTGATCCGACTCTGTCTTTGTCTTTATTTTTCTTCACAACAGTAATTTATCTGACATTATAGCATATATTAATTTGTCTATCATCTCCTTCTCCCTGGATATAAACTTCATGAAGGCAAGGACTTCGTTTTGTTCACTGTTGTATTCCTGGCACTTAGGAAAGTACCTGGTACATAGTCAATGCCCAGATAATATTTGTGGGGTCAGTGAATTAACTGGTATTAAATGATAGGAAAACCACTAAACTTTGTGTTTAAAAAAAACGCATTAGTTTTTACTATAATACAACTATGCAACTAAAAAGAAAATTGCACTCTAAAACTTATAGTGAAAAACACTGAGGTACATTCTTGTCTAACTTTCCTTCCCAGATCCTGCTCTCAGAGTAACCATTTTCAGTACTTTCAGCTGTTTCTTCTGATATTTAATCTTTCATATTTTAAAATATTTGTTTTTCAATTTTAGATACTGTCTGTTGGACTCCTACTGTGGAAGGTGAGCCTGTGCTTTAGGATTGTTATGCCACCTTGAACCTCCTCTCCCTTTATCCTCCCAGTGTAGTTAGAGCATGCTTTGGTTAAATCAGTGTTCATTGTTTACATTATTATGACTGTAAATTTGTTTGCCATTAAACCTTGCAGTGTACTATGATTATATTTGTATTATTATATTTGTTGGAGGTAAATTTTTTTTTCTTTTTTGTTTTTTGCTTGGTTTCCTTTTTGTCTCTAATTTTTTTCTAGAAACTGTCCCAATTACCATCAGGTAATTGATCATTTGATTTTTTTAAGAAATTGGAAAAATCCTAGGGCTCTCTATGCTTTTGCTCCAGTCTGCACCGTGACTCTCCATTTCTGCTGCAGAGCTATAGCTGGTGACTTCCCTTCACCTTGATTCTGAGAATTCTCTTTGCCTTTTCCCTGTGTTGGAGCCTGTGGTCTCTGGACCCATGCCTTCCTCTTTCTTGATTTATACTTTTGTTTTGGTGAAATGCATCCCTCAGTAATTTTCAAGAAAGAGCGTATGAGGAGATGAAATTTTTGAGGTGTTCATATTGGTGAAAATACCTTTCTTCTGTATTGATACTTGGTTGATAATTTGGCTGGTTTGGGTATGGAATCCAAGGTGAAATAATTTTCCCTCAAAATTGAAGCGAT